AATGGGGACAAATACGACTCGGCACCTAGGCGGGTTCGGACCAAATTGTCGCTCTTAAACTAGATGATCTGAGTCGAGTCTATTCGAACATCGATCTTATTGAGCTAGATTTGAATATTTTAGTTGCTGCTCGAGCTCGACGAGACAAGTATTTTGTGGATTAGCTTGACTCAACAAAAACATTCAGATGCTTGAATTCAGTTGAGTTTGATCGGCTCGAATTGTGCTTAAGTGGCCCAAAATTTCAATAAGAAATCTATTCAATTAGGAATGTTGCTCGAATTGGTGAGAATTTTGCTTGAGTTAAAGGTATTTGGATGATTGTACATGCAATTTTGCAAACAGTCAAACACTTAAGTTTACAAGCTTGAGTTCGAATTTAAAGTGCTCGAGCTCAACTCAAAGCTTATGAGCCGCTTGATTCGGTTGCAGGTTATGTAAACAATAAATAACATTTAAGAAACTTTAGCTAGCACAACGTAAATACCTTTGTAAATTTAAAGTATATCCTTTTAGAATTTTTAAGATAAAAACTAATTAACTCCCTTTATAATTTTGAAGTAAATCCTTGTAAAATAAGATAAAATACTAAGTAAATGGCAAATAGTGTAAATTAACAAAACATATGTAAACTAAGAAAGAAGGTAAAAACATTGTATATGTGAAAAAAGCTTGACATTTAGGTTGAAATTGGGCATAAGATTTTTTTCTAAAAATTTTGTCTCATCTGAAAAAGTGGAATAAGTTGTTTTTAGCAAAAGTGAGATAAATTTGACACTGTAAGTAAATATGATAAATATATATGAAAAAGTGACAACTTTCTTTTCAGAAAATATTGGAGAAAGTTTGGAATATGAATGGATGTAAGTAGAAAATGTAATGATTAAAGTTGTGATATAAAAAAGTTGAGTGGTAAGATTGGTAGTTGATAATATGTGAGTGGATGGATATTATTTTTTGTTGAAAATATATATAATACTGATAATTTTTTATTTTTAATGTGTTGGTGGGATTGTAGTGAATAAAGTGAGATAATATAACTATCATTTTTTATTTTTTTTNGTGAAAATTTTCTGTAACCAATTGCCATCTAGTATGCATAGGCTTTGAATTAGCCTTCATCCTCTCACCGAAAGAAGATAAAAAACAATGTATATTTTTCTTTTTTAAAAAAAACACCATTTAGTATACATAGGGTCTGAATTTTCCATCATCATCATCTCACTGTCCTCATTTCTTTCTTTCATACCCCACTTTTGGTACGTAGGAGAAGCCACTGATTTCCTTTTCTCATTCATTTATTGTGCGTCGTTCATCTTGTGAGCAGAAAAGAAAACCATTGTTAATTTTTACATGAATCCATTTGTTAGGTACATGTTATAGCATCATGGGATGGTACAGAAGATCTTCAAGGTTCATATACGATGCTTTTCATAGCTGCAAACCAAACACTCTTATACCCAGAAACCCTATTCAACAATCGATTTCAAGAGCAAATTTGCACAGTTTTGCTTCTAGACCAGGTTCGAGCAGTTCGAAAATCTCTGAGTTTTCCCAATCAATCTTCAGAAACACATTTTTGCAGAATGGGCTCAAACAAAACCCTTTTCTTGGTGGCGCAAAGAGGTTTTACTATGTGGATAGGAAACAGGTTTACCACTTTAAGCCCAGAGGGTACAAACGATGGATTGAAAATCCAAGAAATGTATTTGCAGTCATTTTGCTTGGTTCCGGGGTTGTAATTACTGTTTACTTTGGGAATCTAGAGACTGTACCCTACACCAAAAGAACCCATTTTGTTCTTCTATCAAGTTCCCTAGAAAGAGATTTGGGCGATAATCAGTTCAAGCAGTTGAAAAACCAGTTCAAAGGGAAAATACTGCCCCCTCTCCATCCTGAGAGTATTAGGATTCAGAGTATATCACAGGATATAATTGAGGCCCTACAAAAAGGATTGAGCAAAGAGCAAGTTTGGAGTGATATTAGATATTCGCCCGAGAGCGTGGCTTTGTCTCATGAGGGCTATGGGCACGAAAGTGTGAAGGCATTGAGTGATAAAATGGTGGATGAGGAAAAATGGCAGGGGGAGGACAAGTGGCAGAAGGAGGATGAGGTTCTTGATGATCAGTGGGTTCTGCAGAGTAGGAAAAAAGGCCATGAGAAGGGCATGAAATCTCAGACAGCTCATTTGGAGGGACTTAAATGGGAGGTTATCGTGGTTGACGAGCCTATGGTTAATGCATTTTGTTTGCCTGGTGGGAAGATTGTTGTTTTCACTGGGTTGCTTAAGCATTTTAGGGCGGATGCTGAGGTTGCAACAGTTATCGGGCATGAGGTACATTGTTGAAAATGCTATAAAATCAGAATTAGTTTGGTGATGTATCATTCTTCTTGAAATTGCAGAATATTATCTTTTGAGTATAGGTACGAGTGAATTTTTCATTTATGTATTTCTGCATGGGTGCAGCACACACAACACACACGTTGATGATTTATAAGAGAGAAATGGAAGTTTACGGGCATGTTGAGTATTTTATTTGTAGACTTAGGTAAATGGACTCTTACGGAAAAAACTTGTAAATGAATTTTTGACCTTGTGGATTTAATTTGTAGAGTATGT